CCAAACTTCCTCTTTCCAGGCCAACAGGCCACGGAAGATGGGAACTGGAGTCCAGAAACCCAATCTAGGAAGGTCACATGCCTTGCAAAACCATTAATGTACCAATAACCTCCCTTTGGGGGGCCCTCATCCTCTTAAGAAGCCTTCCACCAACCTAATAGCCCAAGGATGATGGGAACTGGAGTCCAGAAAAACCTATTAATGATCACCAAAAGTCATACAACCCAATCTAGGATGGTCAGGTCACAAGCCTTGCAAAACCATTAATGTACCAACAGTCTCCCTTTGGGGGCCCTTCTTCCTCTCAAGGAGCCTCCCACCAACCCAACAGGCAAGGATGATGGGAACTGGAGTCCTGAATCCCTAACTAGGATTGACATAATTCTTGCAAAACCACTAATACACCTATAGCTTTCCTTTGGGGGCCCTTCTTCCTCTTAAGAAGCCTCCCACCAACCCAACAGGCAAGGATAATGGGAATTGGAGTCCAGAAACCCTATCAAGTCTCACCAAAAGTCATACAACCCAATCTAGGATGGTCACAAGCCTTGCAAAACCATTAATGAGCCAACAGCCTCCCTTTGGGGGCCCCTCATCCTCTTAAGAAGCCTCCCACCAACCCAACAGGCAAGGATGATGGGAACTGGAGTCCAAAATCCCTATCAAGGCTCACCAAAAGTCCAGAAACCCAATCTAGGAAGGCCACAAGCCTTGCAAAACCATTAATGTGCCAACAGCCTCCCTTTGGGGGCCCTTCTTCCTCTTAAGGAGCCTCCCACCAACCCAACAGGCAAGAATGATGGGAACTGGAGTCCAGAAACTCAATCTAGGATGGTCACAAGCCTTGCAAAACCATTAATGCGCCAACAACCTCCCTTTTGGGGCCACTCATCCTTTTAAGAAGCCTTCCACCAACCAAATAGCCCAAGGATGATGGGAGTTGGAGTCCAGAAACCTATCAAGGACTACCAAATGTCTTTAAACCCAATCTGGGATGGTCACAAGTCATGCAAAATCATTAATGCAGCAGGAATTCCCCTTTCGATCATCCTGACCCACAACTTTCTCTTTCAAGGCCCAACAGGTCAAGGATGATGGGAACTGAAGTCCAGAATCCCTACCAAGGCTCACCAAAAGTCCAGAAACCCAATCTAGGAAGGCCACAAGCCATGCAAAACCATTAATGTGCCAAAAGCCTCCCTTTGGGGGCCCTTCTTCCTCTTCAGGAGCCTCCCACCAACCCAACAGGCAAGGATGATGGGAGCTGGAGTCCAGAAACCCTACCAAGGCTCACCAAAAGTCCAGAAACCCAATCTAGGAAGGCCAGAAGCCTTGCAAAACCATTAATGCGCCAACAGCCTCCCTTTGGGGGCCCTTCTTCCTCGTCAGGAGCCTCCCACCAACCCAAACAGGCCAGGATGATGGGAGTTGGAGTGCCAAGGCCTCACCTGTTCAACTAAGGCTAAGCAGAGCCACTCAGGAGCCCATAATTCCTCATTCAAAGCCCTCAAAACGCCCTGAAATGCACCCCCAAGGCCTCACAAGCCAGGAATGATGGGAATCCGAGTCCCTCCCGCCTTCCTCACCTTTTTTTCCCTTCCCGAGACCCGTAACGGCAGCCGCAGCAGCGAGGGCTGTAGCCGGGAGACACCCGAACCCGCCTGCTCCGAAACCCCGCCTCCTCTCCATTCCTATTGGCTGATATCCACCTTAGCCCCGCCCCTACTGCTCAATCCCGCGGTTCTATTGGGTTACGGCTTGATCAAGCCACGCCCCTTGCTCCTCCTCCAAAATCCGTGTGCTCCTCATGGCCCAGCGATGTCCCGCCTCTTCCGCTTCGTCATTGGCCCAACCAAACCCCCTGTATGCCACGATTGGTCCAAAGGGCATCTCTTCTCGTTCTCATTGGTTGCTTTCTACACAGAGGCGGGGAATAGGTTTCCCGACGGCCTTTGATTGGTGGAGAGCGGGATTGGCGTTCTCATTGGTGGCTTTCTAAACAGAGGCGGAGAAAAGGCGTCTCTTCGCGTTCTCATTGGATGCTTTCTAAACAGAGGCGGGGAAAAGGTTTCCCGACGGCGTCTGATTGGTGGAGAGCGGGATTGGCGAAAAAGGCAAGGTCAGAAGCGAAGAAACAGCCGCAAGGAAGGTCAGGTGGGCGTCCCAGAGTGCACCGCGGCCGCCATAGAGGTTTCAAAGGCTAGAGCGGTATTTCAAAAGCTGTCAAGATGGCGGAAAGGGTGGCGGCCATCTTTGTAGAGGAAAGGAGGATGCCCCGCGGTTGCTATAGCAACCACTGGAGCCAATCAGGGTGAGGAATTTTTACACGGTGCTATCTAAGCAAACAATAATTTGAATAATGTCATGAATATTAATATATGTTAATTTGAAGGGCTCCTGGTCAAGATATATAATGGAATATAAAAATAAAAATAATATAATATGATAAATAAATAAATAGTAAAACAAATATAATAAAAATAATAAATATAAATATAATAATATATAATATATAAAAATAATATAATATATAATAAATAAATATAATATAAAAATATAATAAATATAAAATAATAATTAATATATAAATATATAAAATAATAATATAAAATATATTATATAAATATAATAAATAATATTAATAATATTAAAATAATAAAATAATAATATAAATATAATAATTTATTAAAATAAAATAAATAATATATTAAATAAATAATAAGTAAACAAAATATAATAATAATAATAAATTAATAATTAAAAATAAAAATAATATAATATTAAATAAATAATATAAAAATATAATAATAATAAATATAAATAATATATATTAAAATAAAATAATATAATATATTAAATAAATAAATAGTAAAACAAATATAATAATATAATAAATATAAATAATTAATATATTAAAATAAAAATAATATAATATTAAATAAATAAATAAGTAAAACAAATAATAAATAATAATAATAATAAATATAATTAAAAATAAAAATAATATAAATATTAAATAAATAAATATATAAAACAAATATAATAATATAATAATATAAATTAATATATATAAAAAAAAAATAATATAATATATTAAATAAATAGTAAAACAAATATAATATATAATAAATAATAATAATATTAAAATAAAAATAATAATTATTAAATAAATAATAAGTAAAACAAATATAATAATATTAAATATAATATAATAAATATAAAATAATAATAATATAAAATAAAATTAATATAATATAATAAAATATAATATAATAAAATAATATAATAATTAATATATAAAATAATAATATAATATAAAGATATAAAAACAATATAATAAATATAATAATATAATAAATAGAAATATAATAAATAATAATAAAAATAAAAATAATAAATAATTATAATATAAATATAATATAATTATATAAATATAAAAAATAATATATAAAAATAAAAATAAAATAATATATAAATAAATAATAATAAAAAAATAATATAATAATAAATAAATAAAAATATAATAAATATAAATATAATAAAATATATAAAATTAATAAATAATATAAATAAATAATAAAAAATATAATAATATAATAAATATAATAAATATAAATATAATAATTAATATATTAAAATTAAAATAATGTAATGTATTAAATAAATAAATAGTAAAACAAATATAATAATATTATATATATATATATAATATTAAATGAATAATAAGCAAAACATATAATAATATAATAAATATAAATATAATAGTTAATATATTAAAATAAAAATAAAATAACATATTAAATGAATAAATAAGTAAAACAAATATAATAATAATAAATATAAATATAAAAATATAAATATAATAATTAATATAATTTCAAATTAAAATAATATACGTATTATGTACAATAAATATAAGAATTTAAATAATAAGTATCCCAAAAATAATAATTAATATAATTTATAATAAATATAAATGTAAAAATTAATATAATTTCAAACTAAAATCATATACATATTATGTATAATAAATATAAGAATTTAAATACTAAATATCCCCAAATTAATAATTAATATAATTTAAAATTAAAGTAATATACATATTATATATAATAAATATAAGAATTTAATAAGTATCCCAAAAATAATAATTATTATAATTTAAAATAAATATAATATAAATGTTTTAATATATATAGTATAATTATAATTGCAAATAATGAATAATAATAATAAAATAAAAGAGTACATAATTAATATGACATATAATAAAAATATAATAAAAATAATAAAATATAATATATTTAAAAATATAAGACATATAATTGAATATAGTAATTTAAAATAAATATAATATAAATACTGTTATATATATATATATATATATATATAATAACTGCAAAAAATAACAAATAATTATAATAAAATAATACAGTACATAATTAATATAACATATAATAATTTAACATTATGAAAATAAGCATAATAAAACAATAAATACAACATACTATATTACAGTAATTGTATATTATATATTATAATATTACTAATAATATTGCAATAGTGTTATAATACAACATAATATGCAATAATAATATATGTTTATAATATAATATAATATATAATAATATGATATATTGCATATGCATATAATAGTGATCATAATATTGAAATAGAATACAATATAATAGCAATAATAACACAATATAATAATATATAATCTCAATATTGTAATATAATAATACTGTACTAATACTAATACAATACTAATAATACTACTACTACTAATAATAATACTAATATAATAATACTAATACAGTTTTGTATTATAGTAATACAAAATTGAACTGCAAAATCCTCCATGGTGGAGGCTCCTTCTTTGGAGTCTTTTAAACAGAGGCTGGATGGCCATCTGTTGGGGGTGCTTTGAATGAGATAGTCCTGCTTCTTGGCTGAATGGGGTTGGATTAGATGGCCCATGAGGTGTCTTCCAACTCTAAGATTCTACGAATCTATGAAAATCGAACGGCAAAGGCTCTGGCATCAACCAGTACAGCTGTGCCAAAAGATCTCAGCCAGCATTTGGAAACAATCAACATCGACTTGAATCTGCGCGCATCATTCGGAAATACATCACACAGCCCTAGACGCTTGGGAAGGGTTCGACTTGTGATTTTGTGATACGAAATCCAGCAGAGAGATCCCGTTTGCTGTGACATGCTGCACTTTTGTGTCAGTAAAATAAGAATAATAATAAAAGTTGCTCCGGTGATCCTCAGCTGCTGCAAGAAGATCGCGGACAGACTCCAAGCAGAGGCACAACACCGTTGCTGAGATGCTTCATGGGAACTTGTGCCACAAACACCACCTGCCTGAGACAAAAAACTTCCCACTAGAGTTTGGAAAAAAATGCAATTTATTTTGTAAAGAAATAATAGCATCATTACAAAGTTATTTATTTTTAAAACAAACAAACAAACAATGAAATCCCCTCCTTGAAATGGGAGCATTCAGTAGTGTCAAGCGGAGGCACAAAAAAAAGGGACGTTTGGGGGAAGTCGGATTTTGGGGGGAAGGCACTGAATGCTGATGTGCATCACCATCAATCGTTTTGAGGTTCGGAAACAGAACGACTATAACATCATCATCATCGTCGTCGTCGTCTCCATCATCGTTACCTTCATCTGAATTGAGAACCACCGTGTGGATCCGAACCCACGTCCGGAGGTAAAGCAGAAATAGCAGCGGAGGGGTCGGTCTGTACCATGCGTTGGGACGGCTACGTCGATTCGTTTAGTTTAACGAAAGTATTACAAAAATTAGGAACTGGGGAAAATGGGGAAGGAAGGCATTGCGGAAACCCAATAGGAAACCTACCCTCCCAAAAAATGACATTTTCCTGCCAATTTCTAGCATTGCAACAACTTAGAATGGGATGCAAAGGGCGAGTGATGGGAATATGGCAGATTCTCAGTTCAGAGGCACAGGAATTGGTAGATCCCTGATTATTATTATTAATAATAATAATAATAATAATAATAGTTATTATAATTATTTTAATTATAATTTATATAATAATAATAATAATTATTATTATTAATAATAATAATAATAAAATAATAGAGTTGGAAGAATAATGGAATACTAGAGTTGGAAGAGACTCCATTAATTAGCAAATATAATAATTAATATAATTTATAATTATTATTATTATTATAGAATAATAAAGTTGGAAGAATAATGGAATACTAGAGTTGGAAGAGACTCCATTAATTAGCAAATATAATAATTAATATAATTTATAATAATAATAATAATAATTATAGAATAATAAAGTTGGAAGAATAATGGAATACTAGAGTTGGAAGAGACCGACTCCATTAATTAGCAAATATTATTATTATTATTATTATTATTATAAATTATAATTACATAATTATATAATAATAATAATAAATAATTATATAAATTATAATTAATAATAATAATGCTTATTATAATTATTTTCCATTATAATTTATATAATTATATAATTAATATATTTAATCATAATAATAGAGTTGGAATAATAATGGAATACTAGAGTTGGAAGAGACCAACTCTATTAATTAGCAAATATAATAATAATAATATTTATTATTATTATAAATTATATATAATAATAATAATAATA